TACTCGCATGATTATGTTGACTGTGATTATGATGATGGCAATCTTTATTAGGGTTTCCATGAGGGTTTTTTCAACATCGCATCTAAACAAGTATCTCCCAAACGATCGGCTGAGCAGGCTTCGAGAAATCGCATCACGGAAGAGCCACGTGATGTGGCTTTCTATAGCAGAACGATAGCTTGTTCTATGCTGCAGCATTAGTACGTTGTTGATTCCAGAGCTTTTCAGCCGGTCTACGTTTTACAGTGAATCTTCCGCAGGCCTTGTTTGACCGAAGGTGTAGTTGTACTGTGCGTGCGAAAATGAGATGCAGCCGTTTCAGTGGTTTCTAGACCATGTGTGGAGGCATGTGTCGAGGAAGGCGATGACCCATTTTTTGATTCAGATTGCAGTCATTGTAACGGTACTGTGATTGTGAAAGAGACAGAGAAATATAGGTGCCATGTGCTACTGCTATGTCTTCTGTATCGTTGCGCTGCTAGCAGTGCAACGGGGTCTGCGAGATCCCTTTTTGCACCTGGCACATGAGCGGGAGGGCCAGAGACACCGGGAGCCTGTGGACAGCAGGAGGCGAAGACAGCGCCGCCAGCGTAATAGCAGGAGACAGCGTCGCTTGCGAGAATCTGCAGCTGCCTTCAGCCTGATATGTTTAGGTCCCGCTATTGTAGGATGGTTTTGTTTTAGCATACTTCTGGATGAGTTGTCAAGACGCTGGGTCGAGCAATTCTGGTGGCTCGTGTTGACTGCAGTCGGCACGCTGGTTCTTGTTCAGCACTGGGACGTTGCGTTGCCAGCGTGCTCTAGTGCCGAAAATGTTTTTGAAGACTCACAAATTGCAAGTGATAGCGGGCAACCAAACTTGTTAACACTTCTGTGGCTTCAGGAGCTGAGTGAGTGCACTGCTGCCCCAAAGGGCCGTGTGGCCACTGCCGCTGCGCTGTCTGTATGTGTCCTGTTGCGACACAGAAAAAAACATTTCGAGCTGGAGTGGCAGTGCCGTGTAGCTACCGGCCTGGTGATTTGGGGTGCGTGTCGCGCAGCATGGGCCAGGCCTCTGTGCATCTTGCATGGTGTGTGTTATCCATGGTTCCCACCAGATGCTAAGCGTGCAAAAGTACAGCAGAACGCAAAATCATTTTCTGAGTCAGAGTTGCTGAGCAAAGGAAAAATGGAATTACTTGAAGTAGCACAAAGTTTGAGTCTAGGTTCGACTTACAGGTTGCGCCAAAAGTCGTGCGAGCAGCTGCGCGAGTTGATTGCGGAGTCAGGGCGTCCACAGCCATCTAGCCAATCAGGAGAGATGGCCAAGAAAGGCAAGGTGGATCTGATTAACATTGCCTGTAAGGCGGGATTAGGTTCAGTATACTTCTTGCGCCAGAAATCGCGCGAGGAGCTGCATGACATGATACTTGCACAGTCGGAGCAGCGTGACATGATCGCACCGAAAGCGAAGCTGGATTTCTCCGCAGGAGCTCGCGGCGCAGGTCTCACTGTGCTGAGCCTGCCAGATGGACGGCAAGATCCTTTGCTTGTGTTGCAGAACCGTGTGTTCGATGCCATTTGCCCCGTTGATAGGAGAGCCTTGCTGACCGCGATGTCAAGCTTTGGGATTAAAATTCGGGGAGTCAGGTCTGTTGCAAGCATTGCTGTGTTGCGTGATGAGTTTCGTCTAAAAATTGGTCATGCAGTTGTGTCATGCCATGAGAGCAACTTAATCTCTGCCGATACCAGCACAGCAGATGCGGCAGCGGTAGTGAAACGAAAGCTTCTGAGCGGTTCTCGCTGTGATGATGTCAATGCCTACCGCTGGTGTGGCCCGTCCGTTGAGGATGAGTCCCATGCTGAGGGCTGCACACGGGGTCAACAACTTTGCATGCAACTTGTGGACTTTTATCACAAACATGGGCAGTACCCTGACAATCATGCTGAAGGACAGCTTTCCAAGATATATGCCAGCATGAAACGGAAGTTTTGGAGACTGCGCTCAGCTTCAGTTCTTTCCGCCATGCAGCGGAAATTCATGCAAGATGTAAGACAGTTGCCCGGAGCATGGAGCGAGCATCCCGGCTTTGCCACATATATACCTTCTGTCGTTGTGGGAGCTTGGCATCAGCTGAGAACAGGTTGTAAGCGGATGGTTAGCACGCCTCCTGATGTTTGTTTGCTGTGCAACGAGTTCTGCGCCGGGCCCAAAGCATTGGAAGCACACTGCAGACAAGCGCACGGGTCATACAATGAGTACAGAAAGCGCGTCTTGTACCTTGCTCGCAAAAGAGGCCCAGTGCCACTCAGTGGAGAAGAGAAAAGGGCCATGATACAAAATTGCGCTCAGTTTGAAGTGGCATCGATTGTGGGCAACAGTCACAATGATTGGCGTGATTGCACGTCCACTTTTGAGCCCAGGCGTGAAATTGCTTGTGCAGTTTGCAGTCGTTTAGACTTTCCTGAGAAGCGATATCCTGTCAAATTGTTCTCATTGCCTTCGGTNNGAGTCTGACCACGCAGACGCAGCAGAATTGCGTGACCGTGTGTCTTTAGGACGCGGCACACACAGTGTGCAAGACGTCGCGGCAGTTGACAAGTTGCTAGATGTGCGGCGTTATTCGCAGCGATGGCCCCGGATCCCGCCAGCAGAACTTTTTGCGTCCAGCGTCGTGCATCCACATTTTCGGCACATGAAATGGTTGCTTCACACACGTGTCATCGCCACGCAGCCAGGCAGCTTCGGGTCACGCGGCGCCCACGCTGAGGAGCCGGCGTCTGCCGGTGTGGCGTGCGCAGAGCAGGAAGTGTTTTTGTGTGACATCTGTTGCGGTCAGCTGTGCAAGAAAAGGCCTGTCATGCCAAGTCCAGCCTTGTGCAATGACAACTGGATTGGCCGACAAAATCCTCTGTTTGCGGGTTTAACGCAAGCAGAGAAATGGCTTTTGAGTCTGGGCAGGCCTTGCTGGAAGAAGGTCCTGTTGGGCAAGAAGGGTATGCCAGAAGATGAAATGCAAACAGGGTTGGCAGGCAACTCCGTGTTCTTGTCGCAGCCGACAGCGGGCGTTCCAACCATGGAGCTGCCACCAGCACCGGGCTTTCTTTCTGATAGTCTCGTAGTGGCCTTCACAGGTCAGGACACAGCAGATCTCAGTCGAGCTACGTGGGCTACAGTGCGTCGGGAGCGATATTTGGCTGCTGCCAAACTCAGAAAAGCTGTTTGTCCGGCATTTCAGCACGTGTTTGTGAATACACAAGCGCCCCAAAGCGTGCTGCCAGACAATGGCGTTCCGGAAGCCGTGTCCCAGTGTTCCGTTTGCCTGCCCGAGACTACCACCATCAAGCAACACTTCCCAGGACTGGCTGGAGATGATATAAGCCGTGTGTCCGGCAGCCATGACGCGAACGACAAGGAAGAATGTTCTAGTGAGTCTGGTGACAGCGAGCAGGAAAAGAGCACGCAGCTCACAGAAAGAACATGCAACGAGGCTACCATCGCCATGGACCGCGCTCATGACGAGGAACCTGTCCGCATGCTGGTGAGCCTGCAGGAGAATTTGCGCATGTTGGAGGAAGAGGCTGCGAAGGTAGGACGGGAGGAAGCAAAGAAGAGGTTGGAGGATGGGGATGGTGCGCAAGCGCTGTGCACAGATGTTGGAGGCAGGGAGGTGTGCAAACAAATCGCTGTAGACATCCAGGCAGTCGCGCAGAGATTGGGGCCACAGGCAAGGCTGCGCGTGGAGGAAGCCATTCGGTCTGCGGAGGTGCAGCAATCTGTGTCGCCCCAAGGCTTGGCCGTTCCAACAAACGAACCACTCAGCTTCTTCGACGCAGGGACCTGGCCGGCTTGTTTTACAGAGTTTCTGTATGGAGATGGCTGTCCTGGCTTGAAGCGTGATGCTGCTTGTCTGTTTGAACAGCTATTTGCCTATCTTCTAGACCGACAAGAACTCGAATACACCATTCCTGGAGAAGAGCAGCACTTCCGCTCGCCTCGACAGAATCGGTTTTCCACTCCAGAAATGATAGCGGTGTTCGCGGACGTGCGCCGAAGGCTCGCCCTCTTGAGCAGCACCAGAGCCACGATTTCTCGGCCAGGCTTTGCAGCGGACTTGAAACTGATTTCAGAAGCCACTCCGGCAGATTTTGTGGAAGCGATGGGCATTGCTGGCAAAGATGCATCGCTCAAGCAAGTTGCGGGCCATCCAGAGGTTTCCAAGAAGTTGAAAGCCGTCCTGCGCTGCTGGGCACATCTATAGCAAATTGTTCCTTCAGGCTTGTTGTGGTCGGCCTTTTTCCTAACTACCAGCATAACATCGCAACTCTTTTGAGGAAAGTCTAGGTAACATGTCGCCCCAGCACTCCCTGGTAATATCCGCTTGTGCTGCAATTCCAGGTTCGCTGTCTCTGAGCACAGCCAACATTTGCGGAACCGAAGGCCGCAAAACCACACAAAGGCACATTGGAAATTCCATGAACATTGTTTATGGGCCGTGTTCCTTATTTGTAACTATGAACTTCGCGGACACCCGCTCCCGCCTCGTCTACCAGCTACATGGAGGCGGATTGGAAGAAAACATAGAAGTGGAACTGTGGAAGGATGACCCTGCCATGCCATCTTTGCGAGACATGCACCGGCTGGTGGCTTGCGACCCTCGTGCTCAAGCAAAGTTTTTCTTGCTCATGATGGAACTGCACGTTCGCCACGTGCTTGGCCTTGATGATGTCCTTTGGGGGAAGCGCAAGCTCTGCTCACCCAGCATTCCAGGTCGAGAAGATAGTTTTGCCGCATCGCTTCGCCCGTGTCTTCTCCCATATCCGGTAGCTGCAATGGGCCCTGGCGAGTCCCAGGAACGGGGGTTCGAGCATGCGCACCTGAAGATCCATGGTTTCAGTGTCAGTGATGCACGACGAATCAAGGAAGCGCTCCTCGGCTCGGATGTTGAAACAACTGCTCGCTTGCAAGCTTGGCGACAGCAAGGCTTGCAATATGTTGAATCAGTCTTGCAAGAAAGTGCGACTGCAACTGCAAGGTCGCTGGACCTGCATCTGCCTCCAGTAGGTTTTTCGAGGGAGCAGCAAAGGCAAACAAGGTTCGATGGCCTAGAAGAAGAAGATGGATCTAAGAGATTGCTTATGCCAGTAGTTGCTGACGATGTAGATGGCCACGTGGAGAGAGAAAATGCAGCAGCAGCAGCAGAGCAGAGGGCCCCACGCGGGCCTGTGGACATCCCTTTGACAGGCTCTGTGAACAGCAGCCTTCCAACATACAGGTTGCCAGGCGCTTTTGGCCGAATGCAAAAGTGTGTGAACGATGCTGTTTCATTGGACTGTCCAGACCCGAAGCTTTTGACACGCACGCCGTGGCGTCAGTGCGCAAGGTCCGAGGGCAAAGTTACGCTTGAGCTTCCGGATGGGCGACAGGCGCAAGATGCCGAGTTGCTGGCAGACGCTGCCATGTTTGAAGAATGTTTCGCTCGAGACACGCGCAGATGTTTCTTCTTTAACCAAATGCACCGCTGTGTGGAATCCTGTGTAAAGTATTCCAAAAGCAAGCAATCCCGGTCAGAACAAGTTGCTAAAAGTAGGGCGCCGTTGTGCAGGGCCAGGTTCTACCACATAGTCGAAGTTGTGGTTGACGCAGCTTCGATAAAGCGGAAAAGACGTCGCGGCAAACGCCCGCGTGAAGCAGTCTGTGTGGACGAAGATGTTCTGTCGGAGACCTATTGCAAAGTGTGCTTGCAGAGAGACCATCCGTTTATCAGTGTGAGCTCCGATGTCATGCAGGTTTGTGCTCGTTGCAACGTGGACTGCCAGTACTTGGAGTTGCTGCCCACTGCCGTCCACCTGGAAGAGACTTCCACGAAGCGCGCGTGGTGGTCCTGTCTTGGCATTCGTGCTTTGAGCAAAACTAAAGCGGCAGTGGCTTCATCCCTCCTTTATGTGTTTCGACAAATGCATCATGCGGATTTCTACATCACCAAATATGTTGCAAAGCCGCTTCAGTCAATGAAGCCCATTCTGGAGCAATTCTCCCTTGCCATGGTTCGCCTAGAAGCAGAAATTGCAGCACAGCCAGACGCAGAAGGTGACCGTGTCGGTGGACAGCCGGAGGCCAAACGGCGAAAACTGGACCCTGCAACGCATGCCAAGCGCACCTTGCTCAAATTGGCACACGCAGGCAACAGGTGCTTCTGGCAGTCAGCTACCGAGCTATGCACCATCCTCCTAACCGGCGGCGATATGTTGCAGACACATGTGGTCCAAACTGCGCCTTGGCTGCAAGAGTCGCACAGAGACCCAGTCAAGTTGCCATGCCGAGATGTCAGGGGCGTTGCTCTCAAAACATTTTGAGTGCCATGTGCAGGGTGGAAGTGTGCTCAAGAGGGTGACAGCCCAGTGTTGTTCTGCTTTCATTGCCATGGTCGAAGCCAGCGCAAGTTTAGCCAGTGCAAGCACTCGCTTGAAGCTCTACAAGGCTGACACTTCGCTGCACTTGACGTCCACGTTTCGAATCGTTCAACCCAAGCTCTTGCAGAACATCTCTGGCGCAAAAGGGGCCTTTCATAAGTACACGTGCACAATCGTGGACACCGACAACGACTCGTCTACGCTGACGAACATCTTCTTTGGGGACCGCAAGGACGAGGCTGCCGGGAAGTTCTTGAGCAAATTCTGCGACCAGAGCGTGTGGACATGCAACCCAGATGGCAAGAAGGGCGCGGGCTTCAAGGCTTCGTTGAAGAACCCTTTGTATTCCTCCACGACCGCATCCTGCGATCTTCAGTTTCACAGAGACAGCGATGTCAAACAGAGCGCAGCCCTTAGTTCCATGCACTCCAGGTGTTGGCATTCGACTTGTCGCCATATGTGTCCGTGACAGTGTCTGTAATTCAGGCAAGCAGACGGGCCTCCCAACGCGACCGATGATTACACTAAGCATTCGTTCCATTTTGAACTTGGATACGGACCGGCGGGTCGATCTGGTGGGTGTCTTGATCTCCTGCAAGGACAAGCAAGTCAAGAACATCAAAGATCGTGAGGAGACTGTGCGAGAGGTGTGGCTTCAGGACGAGAGCAATGCCAAATGCCAGTTGAACGTTTGGGGCTCTGACATGAATTCTTTCTTCGACAAGCTTGGAGAGGCGCAGGATGTCGTTTTGCTTTGCTACAGGCTAAAGCTAAAGATTTCGCCAAACGGCAAGCAGCTTCAGACAACAAGTGAAACCTGGTTTCATGTCATGTCTCAACCCGATGGTGCTCAAGAGAGGGTGGACAAACTAGTTCAGCAGATTGGCGCCATCAAAAGCTCCACGGCCACTCAGTCGGCTACCGACTTCTGTGGTGAGACGGCAATCGATGAGAAGGACTTGCCTTTGTCGTGCATCAAGGCTGTTGCGCCGCTTGCTTGCAAACGCCAGAGGTGTGCTCGCTAGTCCATAATCTGTGTCAAAACGTGCCGCATGAGGGCACGATTGCCCAGTCGGTTTGCATGTGCAGGTTGGCTGGCGAGATGCGAGGAGATCTGCCGGAATCGTCTTGGCACATCTTGGGATGTCTGTGGGAGCTGGAAGACCGGACTGATATCCTCAACAGTCAGCAAGATCGCCTCTGGGCGAAGGTGAAAGTGATGGACTGGAGCGGCGAAGCTGTTCTGTTTGCCGCAGAGCCCGCACTTTTGGCTATGGGGCAATGCTCGAACAAGGCGGACTTCCTGACGCATGTCCAGGAAGACACACTGCCGTGCAGCCGCGTTGCCTTGCGCGTGACCCGAAAAGTCAAAACCATCTTGGCAGGAACGGCGAATGAGCGCGATGTCGTGAATATCGTGATCCAGCGAGCGGCTGTCATGTTCGTGGTCTCGCAGCACTTGGCAGATCAGCGAGGGACGTTTGCCGACACTCGCGGTGTGTTGCCTTGTCCTTTGGGGCACGTGACATCTTCGGAAACGGAGAGCTTCATGGTCGCGAGCAGCGTGGCTGACTCGCAAAGCGAGAAATCCTTGGAGGCCGGCTTGCCTGTCTATCAGTAAACCATGTATCTATGTCACAGATTTAAAATCACGCCAACCATACTTCCGCAGGCTTCCAGCGGGGTGCTCTGCATGCTGCAAGCTTCTGCGAAGCAGACCCCGAAGAACAACGGCAACATGGTCATGCTGATGTTCAAGGACATGCGAGATGTGCTGAATCCTGAAGGTGCGATCTGGGCATCAAACCTTCAAATTTGGGTCAGGGCCTTCAGTTTGTGCGTCTTGACCGAACCCCCTTTCCCGGACCCACAAGCTTAGTCCATTTCTTCCTCGAACAGAGCTCAAAGAGACCCTCATCCCGGCAGCAAGCCCCTCAAAAACCTTCGGATTTGGGTACCAGGCCCCTCCAGTTTGTGGGTCCCGCTGCGGCCCCGTTCCGGGACCCACAAACTTAGTCCACTTCTTCCTCGAGCAGAGCCCAAAGATACCCAAATCTCGGCAGACTGAATATTGGCTTCTGGAATGTAGTTCTTTCTTGTTGCTCCGGGTGTCTTTCTTGCAGGTCCGAAGTTCTCTGTTCTGCTTCCAGCGCCTCTGGAAAAGATGCTAACCTTGCAGCTCGCCCCCGGGGAATTCGCTCTTTTCCATCTCACATCCAACGTGGAGATGAACGGCCAGTCGTTCTACGTCGCTCAGAATATGTACAAGTGGGCAAACCTCAGTTTGCAAGATGCGGCAGCTGCCTTTCGAGCGGAATGTGAGTCAGCAGCTACCATGCAGCGTCAACGACGAACCCTCAAGCGAAAGCGAAGTGGCTTCGACGCCGAAACGGAACGGATGCTCAAGGCTACCCTTTTCACGGCAGATGAGAAGACCAAGTACATCGGCGCGGAGTCAAAGAAAGCCTGAGATGTGGAGGCTCAGGCAAGCCCAGCTGATTCGCTTTGACACGCTGTTCCAGTTTTGTATGAGACGTTTTGTATGAGACACCCTATAGCACTTCTGCAGCCTACGCCCACGCACACGCTCAAGCAGGTCGAAAAAAGACCGTTCAATGTGCTTGTGCGCTGCATGCTGAGTGCTTCCGTATATGTTTCCTTCTTATCCAAGGTCTTCTTCAAACAGGTCAGCTTCATGGCTTGCAAGGCCAAAGAGCTTATTAACACGGACATCGACGCGGTCATTGGCCAAATTGAAGAGAACACTGACATCCACAGCAACATTGGCCAAATTGAAGAGAACAATGACATCCACGCGGTGATTGGCCAAATTGAAGAGAACAATGACATCCACGCGGTCAGTGGCAGCTCCGACGATGAAGCCAAAGGCCCGAGAATCGAAATCATGTCCATGAAAACTACAAACGCCGCAGATGACTATGCACACCGCGGTGCAGCCTTGCGCAGCTTCCATTTCTTGGGGTACCAGATGTATGTCAGGCGTGTGCCGCTGCGTAAATCTTCTGTCCACCAGGTCTTTCCATTTGAGCCGCACTACGCATTAGCTTCCCGTTACGGTCAAGAGGTTCGCTTGAAGATGGCCATACCGCGCTTGTGCAACTTTCGATGTCCCAGCATGACGGAAGACCCTGAAGGTAACGCAATGATGAAAGGCCTGCTGTTTCAGGCAGTCGCGTGTCCAGGGCCAAACTTTTGTCATCATGTTATGCGTTTTCAACCTTTGCTGGGAGCCGCACAGGAACATGCTGAAACCATTCACAAGCCAAGCTCGTTTACTTTTGAATCGGCGTGGCGGGTTGAACGCGCTAGGGTGGAGCTGTTAGCACGCAGGGCTGACAGGCTGGAAGAAGCAGGGCAAAGGCTTTTAGTGTTGCATGACACGACCCTGCTAAAAGCCTGGCTTCCGCCGGAGCCTGAGCAACATGGTGTCCTGCCGCAATCTAGGAGACAGGTTCTGCAGGATCTGGTTCTTGCTCGCCGGCTGCCCGAACGTACCGCTGAATCTGTTGCGAGCTTCCTTTGTGCGCAGGACCTGGTGGCAGGGCATGTGTGTCCGTGCACGCCCGACACGGTGGACAGGCAGGTGGAAGGGCACTTGTTCAGCTTCTGTACATCGCTGCGTTGAGGCCACCATCCTGAGCAATGCACGCTGGAAGAGTTCATGGCACACACAACACGGCAGGTGTCTTTGAACTTGGATTTGTCTGCAGAATCCAAAAACGTCTGCCGAACCAGCCATGCTGTGGCTGTTGACGAGGACGAGCCCTGCGGTGACCCTGAAAAACATGCGGGCGGCGCAGACATTCGAATTGCCGATGTTGGCGGGGCCGGAGAGGGAGATTGCGAAGATGATGTTGGTGCTGAAGACTATGAGACTGAGTGCGTCTATGCATTCGAGGATGCCTCCGAGCTAATTGATCTTCTGCTGCGAAAGAAAGACCTGAAGGAAGCTCAAGAAGCAAAGCGATGCACACGTCAGCAAAAGTCGATCAAGCAATATCACGAAGCATATGGACCGCTCATGTGCCGGAAGAACCCCTTGCAAATCCAGGTCACTGATGGCCAAGGCTTCCTGCAAACACATCTAGGTCTCAGATTCTTTCAGACCAAAGCCGCCGTCTTGTTGCAGCAGAAGTCCTACATTGCCAGCCACAAAAGACAACTTGCCGGGCCCCCGCTCCCAGATGAAGATGTCTCTGGCGTCGCACCGGCAATGCAGGCGACAGCAGCTCAATGCGAGCTGGTACCTCTCCCCTTGAGACAGCAAGGGCCTGCTGTGGTCGCTTGGCACTTGGCGTCACAGGCTTCTTTAAACGAGGAGCAGACAGATGCCGTGGCTCTGGTTGCTTGGCAGATTCAGCAGATGTGGCTATCGCATGCCCCCGATGACTCCCAGTTTCTTCCCAGTAGCTGGGCGCAGCAAAACTTACGTGTTTTGTTTTTGGGAGGTGGTGGCTGTGGAAAGACGCATACCATATTGCACGTTGTGCGGCCACTCGTGCAAGTGTTTTTTGGTGAAGATGCATTCGAAGGCCAGTGTCCCAGCAATGCTGGTGCTCGCCTCTTTCAGGCCAGGACTGTTCACGCCTCTATCGGCCTGACGGCACAAACGCCTTTGGCGGTAGAGCACTTGAAACTGGAAGGTGCGACCCGAACTAAAGTTGAAAGGATCGCAGTGCCAGCAGCTGCCATCGTAGTCGATGAGTGTTCGCAGCTTTCCGGCTCCCTCATCCATGCCGATGCACTTCGCCATACATATGCCCGCAAGCGAGCACACTCATTGCCGATTGATGACTACATGAAGCCCAATGAAGTGTTTGGCAGAGTTCCGATTCTCGTTTTATCGGGCGATTACTTGCAGCTGCCACCTGTCCCCGAAAAGGGCAGCATCTTGTGGCCCACAGCCGGCTCCACTTACGAGCAGCGGCAAGGCAAGGCGATGATACAGCAGATTTCGCATGTCTTTGAGTTTCGTCAGAGCAAGCGATTCGAGGATCCTGCATTAATCACGATTCTACAGTGCATGAGGACACCGGGCGGAAAAGCTATCCCAGAAGCAGCATGGCATGCACTCGAGTCACGCCTGCTCTGCAGCACCGCCAGTGCACCGGATCCACGACTTGTGCAGGCCTCCGATTGGTTAGAAACTGCTTACGATTGGAACACGGTGTCACTGGCACAGCATGTCCGCACACGTCTTGCAGCAGCCGCCGCCAAACGGGTGCTTTTTTTGATTCCTGCCGTTGACAAACCCTCGCAAACATGCCCGAAACGATTTTTTCGGTCCATGACTGCAGTGCCTTCTCTAAGCACGACCAAGAAACTGATGGGCGCGCTGCCGCTCTATGTCGGAGCACGCGTCCGTTTGACGAAAACACTCATGGCACCCGAGCTGGTTCCTGAGCGGGAAGGGACTGTTGTGGGCATACAGCTTTTGGCCCAAGACGAGGCGGCTTTGCTTGACAAGCATGGTCGACTTGCCGCGAGTGTCCTTGAGGATGGCTGTTTCGTGCCGCGATTCCTGCCCGAGTTCGTGCTCGTGCGCTTTGATGATTTTGAATCAGACGTCATCCCACCTGTGCCCTGCGACCAGCATCACATTGTTGGTGCCTCACGCAAGTGCAAAGACTGCCAGTTTTACACCGGACTCGTAGCTGTTCAGCCCGAGACAGCACAGTGGACTTACGTTGAACAGGTCAAACATGATCCGGCAAAGCATCAAGTCAGGTTGCCCCCAATCCGGATTGATGTCCGCCGCACGCAATTTCCCCTTGCCCCTGCGTTGCCAAAAACGCTGCATTGCCTCCAGGGGATCACTGCGCGGCCGGGGCTTATCGCTCACTGCCGCCTGCCTGCGGTGTCCGCCGCCACTAAATGGCTCAGCTTTTACGTCCTTTTATCGCGTGTGCCATCTTTGCAGCAGTTGCTGTGCCATTTTCTGCCCGACAGAAGCATCCTCGAAGGCGGGCCGCCGCCTGTCTTGCAGAATGCAATGAACGAACTCTTCGCAGGCAAGATCGAGCCGACTTTTGCTGCTGCAAAGGAAGCACGAGCAAACCTGGGCTGGTCCATTGCCGGTGGTGCAGGTGACTCGACTTGAGCTTGGCCTCGTTGCCCGGCATCCACTCCCGTTAAGGGCTCTTGTCTTTAATCTTGATAAAATGTCACATCCTGATGAAACTTCTCCTGAGAGTTGGTTGACTCCGCAATCGCCTGCGCTTGCTTCTGGATAGCTGCCCGCCGCTCAGCGCTAATCCTGATGACACTTCGCCACCATTCGCCTGCGCTGGGTTCTGGATGCCCGTCCGGCACCCTGTCCTGCAGCCGTTCTGCACCCTAATCGTGATGAAAAATCTTCGCCTGAGATTGTGGTTGCGTTCCAACTCGCCTGCGCCTGCCCGAACCCTAGCGGTATTAGGCCCCTTAATCCTGATGAAGTTCCGCTTCAGATTGCTTAGTCCCTAAAATTCCCTGGTCGACTGCACTTTCTTCTGCAAAAACGAAGTCCGGCACCGGCCCTTGATGAAATTTCGCCAAAGAGATACCCACGCCCGTATGGCTTGTAGGCTCTAATAATCCTCGCGATATGCGCCGGCACTGGCAGCAGCGTTTTTAGACCTCAAAGGCCCCGAAACTTCACACGTCCGCACTTGCAGAGCTCCCAGGGAGCAAGAGGAAGCTGAAGAAACTCAGCCGATGCAGTTTTTGTCACACCGTGTTCTGCTGGTTGCTACGTCATGGAAGCGCTCCTACGTCTGGCTGGTAGCATCGCTCCGCCATGCGGCGCACGAACCTTGGTTATGTGCCGGCAGTTGTTTTTCAATGAATTTTTCTCTATGCAAACATGTGACAGGTCTGTGACCCGCAAAGAAAACAACGATTGCCTCCCCACGTAACGACAGCCCGAGGAGCGCAATCAACACCGTTCGGGCGCGGCTTTCTCTCGTGGCTTGCAGGAGTATGGTCATTTTTTTGGACTTTAACTTTTGCTACTCTGTGCAAGGGACAACCCTGAACCAACCCAACCACCCAAATCTTGCCGGCAGTGCTCTGCTGAGGCTAAACTGGTCTTGGGGACTCTGTGGCTTCCGCCTTCGTCGTACCCAGGCCAAGCATTACATGGTCACCCGAATAGCACACCCCGAACACGAAGCCTGAAGCTTGAGATCTAGGCTTGCCTGGAGTGTCCGGAGTGTCCTCCCAAAACCACACGACCTCAACTCTGCATCCAAGTAGTTCAGCCCCACAAAGCCGTGGACAGGCAACACGGACGTGTGCGGCACTTCTTCCATGCCTAGGCAAGGACTCGCTCAAAGGCTGTGTGAACATTATGATGATCGAGGGTTACGGTGAAGGATCTGTGGTTGCAAACTTTTGTTTTTTCTGGCTTGGGGGTGCGAAAAGTTTCGGACGCCGGCCCAAACCCTAAGCCCTTAAGCCGAAACCCGAAACACCTTAAAGCCCGAAAGCTCCAACGCGGTTTTGAATGCAGGCGCTCGATGCCGTGAAGAGCAACGAGTGGCCCGGCATGAAGCGCAAAAATCTCGAGGCTCGAAGACGTGTAGCATCTACGGTTACGGTTTAGGGTTTCGGCTTTAGGATTTAGGGTTATGCGTTTATGCCGACAGCCAAACCCCCACATGCACGCACCAGACCACATACTACAGTTGATGGTATAAATCCTGCATTACCCATAACAAGGAATAGACCGTAATTCCCATAGTTTGGGGTCCTTAGCATAATGCAGGATTTATATCATCAACCGTATTCCTGACAGTGCTTCCGGGTTGGGGCTACGGCGCTTTTGGCCAGCTGGGCAACGGCGGCACCGCGTCTCTGGGTGATGAGCCCCTCGAGACCCTTGCCTTGTGGGTCTTTGGGGTTTGATAGGGTTGATGATATAAATCCTGCACTACCCATCATAGAGAATATACCATGATTCCCATAGTTTAGGGTCCTGAAGGCAATGCAGGATTCATATCATCAACAGTACGTCTTTTGATAGGGGGGCCTTTACAAGGTGTTCTAGGGGTTAAGGATTTGATTTGTTGATGCTTCTCCTTGGCGCTTGTCGGACAAAAACCAGGCATGTGTAGCCAATCGGGGCTCTCTGAGGCTTTGGGGGTCTACATCCCTAAACCCTAAACCAAATTAAAGGTTTAAGGCTTAGGCAGGAAGTTCAGGAGGGAGATTCTCAGACGAGGATCAACAAAGGGAGGGACAGCGAAGCATGCGCGAAGCTTCGGCCCACTATTGCAGGAACCGTAATAACACACATTGTGTTTCGGGGCACATCATACTATAATTGTTTCGGGTCTAGGTGCCGAAAAAAGCGCCTTTAGGATCGGAATAGGGGTTGTTTGTCTTTGATTTCGGACCCCGAAAATGAACCTAAGACGTAATTGCACCCCAGAAAGCCCCACCCTGCTCCGGCGCACCCCAAAACCTGAAAAACAAGCCCCGAAGCAAGTGGGATCTTGGGCAAATCTAGGCATCAAGCCTCTCAACAACCTTCGAATTGAGGTATTCGGCCCCTCCAGTTTGTGGGTCCCGCTGAGGCCCTTTTCCGGGACCCACAAACTTAGTTCACTACTTCATCGAGCAGAGCCCAAAAGATACCCCAAT